TAGAAACTCGTGACAAATTTAAGGTACAGTTTTATGAAGCGCTGCAAAAGATCAGGGAAACATGCAAACAGGCGCTCGACATGGACATGATGAAGAAAGAGATTAAGCTTGAGGACGAGACCAAAATTTAAAGAAATATCAAACTGATTTATAAAACTTATATGATTATAAGTTTTATGGATAAACTATTTTATATCTTTAGCTTTTTCTAATTATTAATTACTTACTTTTTTTTACTTTGGGCGATCCTCAATCGAAATCCCATTCACTGTCTGCCTCCACACGTCTCGATCGCACATAACAGTTCGAAGGTCGTCTAACTGGAGCCCAGTGTCACGAGCTACTACGTCCAGGAAGGTGAGTGGTCTCCTTCCACGGCCGGATTGGGCAAGTCGCCAGGGGAGGATAGTGGAGATAACTTGGTCAGAAGCTCTCATGCAATGCCCAGCGAATCTGGAACGCCTCGACGCAACCACTGAGGCAATAGATGGAAGGTTGCCATAGATCTGCTTGAGGGTTGGATGTTTCTTCCACGAGATGTTCTTGGCCTTCATTAAAAGACGGGTGTAGCATCCGTTGAGGCGCTTCTCAAGCTGCTTGTTTATGGTCCATGTCTCTGATCCATAGAGCAATACTGGTTCGACACAGGCTCTAAAGAACTTGACTTTCAGTTGTTCGGAAATGCCAGAGGACCAGACTTTTTGCAGTTTAATACAGGCTGACCAGGCCATTCCTTTCCTTGTGTTGAAATCCTTTCTACTGTCCGCAATGAAAGAGCCGAGGTATTTAAAGTCATCAACCTGTTTAATCTGGCGGCCTGAGATGGAATGTAAGTCGACATTGTCAGGGATGTTGATGGTCATGAACTCGGTCTTAGAAGCATTCATAGCAAGACCAACTTGTGCGGCTGCATTTTCAAGGTCTGTCAGCAGAAGTTGGACTTGCTCTATGGTGTCTGACATTAAGGCCAAATCATCAGCAAAGTCAAGGTCTGTGATTTTGACCGCAGGCACTCTTCGACTTTTCCTAGGCACGATGGTAAGACCGAATTCTTCACCCATGCAGCTTCTGAGGACATAGTCAAGGACGATGATGAAGAGAAAGGGTGCTAGAGTAAGGCCGTCGATGGTCTGGACACGAGAGAACGATGAGTCATAAAGAAGCCTGATAGCATCTACAAGTGGAGCAGGGATACCGTAGAGGGAGAGGATGTGGAAAAGGGCATCCCGGTTAATGCTGTCGAACGCTTTCGAAAAATCGACAAACACAATTGCGGCTGAGCGATTTCCGATCTTGCATTCCTCGAGTATACGACGTAGGGCAAGGACCTGTGGGAGTGTGGATCTTCCTCTACGGAAACCATTTTGGTTTGGCCGCAAGAGGGGATCAATGAATGGGTAGATCCGGTTGAGGATGAGCTTGTTAAAAACTTTCGCTGCAACCGGTGCCAGTGAAATGCCACGGTAGTTTCCTGGATTAGTAAGATCACCCTTTTTGGGGATAGGAATGATTGAGGCCGTTTTCCAGGCTTGAGGGATCACACCATCCATGAGTGCTTTGTTACAGAATCCGAGGAGGTTTTCACGTAGCTGGGGAAGCTTCCAGACTGAGGGAGGGATGCTATCCAGACCGGGTGACTTGGAGGATTTGGCGGACTTCAGAACCGTGTCGAGTTCTGACATGCTGAAGGATGAGCAGCTGATGGGCAGGGTGTCAGAGACTCGCTGGTTGAAGAAGGGGAGGGTGAGGTCCGGCGGAGGCTGTTCTGTGCCTAGAAGGGACTTGAAGTGCTCGAACCAGATGTTGAGCCGTTCTTCGGTAGTGCCTCCTGGCACTTTGCAGTATGGCACAGTGTCGGAAGATGTTAGTTGCCTGATGATGTGCCAGGAACTGCGATGCCTGTGCTCAGGGTTAGTTTTCTCCAGCAGGTCAGTCTGTTGTCGAATGTGCTGTGAAGTAGCAGCATTATAGGCTTCGTCCAGTTGCTTCTTTGCGTCTTCAAGCTTTTCCTTGGACGAAAAAGAGGGGGAAATCCTGTGACTCAGGGACGCATCCTTTAGGATATTGCGATGGTGTGCAATATTAGGATCGTTGTAAGGATTTTCCCGTTTCCTCTTCCTCTTTTTTGGCAACACCTTAAGTGCTGTGCTTGTAACGCTTTTAACGAGCAGGTCGTAGTCGGACTCGAGCTCTGCTTCCTCTAGGAGTACACTGTACCTGTTTTTCACTTCCACTGCATACTGGTGTTTCATGATGGAATCGTGGATCAGTGGAGTCCAGTCAATGCTCCTAAGAGGGTCCCGTGCTGGAGTTTTGTTGACTCTGTAGCTGGCTTGAACAAAACATGTTACAATCCGGTGATCTGAACCGACAGTTTGCATGATGTTGTACGCTTGACAGTTCTTCACACTGTTTGCCCACTTCTTACGCCAGAGTACAAAGTCAATTTGATGCTTTGCTCTTTTGGGGTCTTCATAGGTCCAAATTTTATTAGCCGGTTTCTGGAAACAGCGGTTAGCAACTATCAGCTGGTGTTGGTCTACCAGATCCAGTAGTCGTTCGCCGTTGTCGTTGGTTGACTGATGGTATGTGAAACCGTAGCTATTACTGAGCTTCGCGTTGAAATCACCGCACACTGCTAGCATGTTGTGAGGAGGCACCTTAGAGATGATCCTGGTTAGAGCGTTGTAGAATGCAGTTTTATCTTCAATATCACTGCAGTTAGTAGGAGCATAACAGGAGAGGACTGTGAGGCGAGGATTCCCGTTTACATGGAGCAAGATGATTCTGCTATTAACTTTCTCTACAGATAGGAGAGATTTCTGAATTCTAGGAGATAAAAGAAACCCAACACCACCAACTGACGCATTAACTGAATTCTTCGTAGCAGAAGCAGTGATGAGCTGATATGATAAGATGTTTTCAATTCTTAGGGATTCTTTGTGGTGTTGGCGATGCTCTTGCAAGGAGATAACATCATTATGATGCATGAAGGCTGAGTGAGCTAACTCCTGTTTACGTGATACAGGGTTGAGAGTCCTACAGTTGAAGGTGCTAACCTGAAAAGGGGTTTTCCTACGAACTAAAAGGGTAGTAACAGGGTTGCTGCAACTATCAGGACCCACCCCTCCCGGGGGTTTTAGGGAGGGCCCGTCATACAGGGAGCTAGCTGCCACTGAGTAGTTAGGGGCTTGAACCCTAGTGCTGTTATCGTGTGTCATCATAAAAGTGAGGGGGGATTTTGTCTAATGGCTAGACATTGTTCCAGGCACGGCGCCACTGCAACCTGGATGTGACACTATAATCCAATACCCTCATCAGTAGGTACAATCACGGGTGCAGGTCTTCATAAACCCGGCTTGTTTTTCGAGGTATGTGCTCCTCTAGATCCGCCGTGTTTAGTTTAATTATTAATTAATCGTGTCTATAGTATACTTTTTCTTTTTAATAGTAATATGATGCTGTCAAATTAAAACTACACATTTTCAGTTTTGGAGCCTTTTTAATTACGGATTATACGAAAAGACATTACGGCTAGATTATGGATTTTTTCTTTTGACTTTAATTTTGATACTGTAACTTAAATTTAAACAGATCATTGTAACGCACTGAGTTTTTATAATTATCGATATGTTGATTTTGTTGACGTTTGACCGAATTCTTAATATTATGAAAAATTTAAAAAATAACGATTTAACCGATTTCAAATTTCAATGATGAAAGGACACGAATGTTAAATAATTTGATTTTTCGAACGGTTTGATTTTTAAAGTGTACCATATTCATTGATTGTTGAATATTGATATAACGAATGAAATAATTTTGCATTTATTGATTATGATATATTTCATTAAATTTCATAAACTGTAAAAAACAAAAAAAATAACATAATTGAAAGGATTGAGCAGATTTTTCCATTAGACCAACGATTTAAGTTTTCAATTGCATTATTTCGTAATTATTGATCATTTATGTAATGAAGATATTATTACACATTTTGACTTGTTTTAAATGGACGACATGACAATTGACATGACTTGGTGATGATTTTAGCTATATAGGCGCAAAACATATTTATTTATTTGGTATTAAAACTCTCTATCATTTGCTGGTTTAATAGAGAAATGAAATTTTTTTGAATGGTTTGGGGTTTTCAAAAATTGGCTGCGGATGGTCGTTAGAAAGTCTCTTTAAAATGATTATTAGCACTTAGCAGTAAGATTTGCCTGTAAAAATATTTCAGAATAATTATTTTCAATTTTTTCAAAATACATATTTGTTTTATTTTTGTTTCAGATTCCAGTCTCATATCTTAATTATCTTACTTCACATAATTTACGCTTCTTCGGAACATAATCACTAAGAATATATTCTGACACAACCAATACCACAATATTTCGAAATATAGCCAGATATATAGCCAAATATATGCCCAAAAATAGCAATTCTAAACTAAATCCCCAAACAAATCTTTCCTTAAAACCATGTTCCCCATCATGCTCATCCTGATCCCCCACCATGCACGCCTCTAATAATTTGAATGTACCTGATGCATCCGGTTTTCACTCAGTATTGTACTCACACACATTTTTTCTTGAATATGTTGTCCTCTTCAGGAAAGTTACAAAAGTTCGACCTGTAACTGCACAGAAATGGCCACGACAAAGATTACCGGACCAGAATTACCGAACACATAAAAATAGATAACACCTGGTCGCTGATAAGGGTCGCTGATGCAATATAATAATAAGATTTCACAGTTGGCCAGTGATTCAAAAAGAATAGATAATCGCTCCAGTGCGGCTTAAGCTGATCAGATAATCAATCTGATCCAAGCAAGACCAAATGGTAAAATGCGCGTCACCTGAATCTGCCTTGATAACCAGTAACCATCATGTAACCAGTAACCAGTAACCAATAACCATTATGTGCTGCACTCAAAAGGTCAAAATCATGGCAACCCTTCTCCCCAGTCTGTAGGCCCTTTCTATTTTTCTCACCTGATGGTCTGTTTTTTCTTCTCTTCCCAGTTCCAATGTCAGATGGTCTTTCTGAGTAACTACTGCTCGTCTCTCTGGACCTACTCCGCTCCCAGCCTGCAGATGGGAGGCAAATATTATAAAGCTACATATTATGAAAAATTGGGTGATGATACGATAATTTAAATTGGCTCTGCTACTCGCATCATCTTACGACACGTGACATTGATCCCCCAACGATAGCAATGAGTTAGAGGTAGACATTTTATGCAATGATAGTTTAACCTAAACTAATTAATTGTTGAAACTAAAACGAATTAGTCGATCCTGTGGTATCTAACCTAGTTGATCAGGTTCGTTCTCTTTGCGAGGATGGCGACCTCTTTCTCTTTCTCCTGCTGCAGGTACTGCTGAACCGAGTTCTGTGGAAGTTTACAGATCTGTTAGACGTGTTAGTAATGATATTGGTGGATAAGCTCAAATATCATTAATTTGTCGTGGAGTGATCACTGGTGAGGATTAAAAATTGTACGACTATCACTATTAAGTGGTTGAAACTTTTTCATAATTTTAAACTAATTTCAACAACACAAATCCATAACATATGTTGAAATGGATGCGTGTAGTGGGTTAAGAAGGTAGGTATGAGGAGTGTAGTGGGTTAAGAAGGTATGTATGAGGAGTGTAGTGGGTTAAGAAGGTAGGTATGATGAGTGTAGTGGGTTAAGAAGGTATGTATGAGGAGTGTAGTGGGTTAAGAAGGTATGTATGAGGAGTGTAGTGGGTTAAGAAGGTAGGTATGAGGAGTGTAGTGGGTTAAGAAGGTAGGTATGAGGAGTGTAGTGGGTTAAGAAGGTAGGTATGAGGAGTGTAGTGGGTTAAGAAGGTAGGTATGGATGAGTGTAGTGGGTTAAGAAGGTAGGTATGAGGAGTGTAGTGGGTTAAGAAGGTAGGTATGAGGAGTGTAGTGGGTTAAGAAGGTAGGTATGAGGAGTGTAGTGGGTTAAGAAGGTAGGTATGAGGAGTGTAGTGGGTTAAGAAGGTAGGTATGAGGAGTGTAGTGGGTTAAGAAGGTAGGTATGAGGAGTGTAGTGGGTTAAGAAGGTAGGTATGAGGAGTGTAGTGGGTTAAGAAGGTATGTATGAGGAGTGTAGTGGGTTAAGAAGGTATGTATGAGGAGTGTAGTGGGTTAAGAAGGTAGGTATGAGGAGTGTAGTGGGTTAAGAAGGTAGGTATGAGGAGTGTAGTGGGTTAAGAAGGTAGGTATGAGGAGTGTAGTGGGTTAAGAAGGTAGGTATGAGGAGTGTAGTGGGTTAAGAAGGTAGGTATGAGGAGTGTAGTGGGTTAAGAAGGTAGGTATGAGGAGTGTAGTGGGTTAAGAAGGTAGGTATGAGGAGTGTAGTGGGTTAAGAAGGTAGGTATGAGGAGTGTAGTGGGTTAAGAAGGTAGGTATGAGGAGTGTAGTGGGTTAAGAAGGTAGGTATGAGGAGTGTAGTGGGTTAAGAAGGTAGGTATGAGGAGTGTAGTGGGTTAAGAAGGTAGGTATGAGGAGTGTAGTGGGTTAAGAAGGTAGGTATGAGGAGTGTAGTGGGTTAAGAAGGTAGGTATGAGGAGTGTAGTGGGTTAAGAAGGTAGGTATGAGGAGTGTAGTGGGTTAAGAAGGTAGGTATGAGGAGTGTAGTGGGTTAAGAAGGTAGGTATGAGGAGTGTAGTGGGTTAAGAAGGTAGGTATGAGGAGTGTAGTGGGTTAAGAAGGTAGGTATGATGAGTGTAGTGGGTTAAGAAGGTAGGTATGAGGAGTGTAGTGGGTTAAGAAGGTAGGTATGAGGAGTGTAGTGGGTTAAGAAGGTAGGTATGAGGAGTGTAGTGGGTTAAGAAGGTAGGTATGAGGAGTGTAGTGGGTTAAGAAGGTATGTATGAGGAGTGTAGTGGGTTAAGAAGGTAGGTATGAGGAGTGTAGTGGGTTAAGAAGGTAGGTATGAGGAGTGTAGTGGGTTAAGAAGGTAGGTATGAGGAGTGTAGTGGGTTAAGAAGGTAGGTATGAGGAGTGTAGTGGGTTAAGAAGGTAGGTATGAGGAGTGTAGTGGGTTAAGAAGGTATGTATGAGGAGTGTAGTGGGTTAAGAAGGTAGGTATGAGGAGTGTAGTGGGTTAAGAAGGTAGGTATGAGGAGTGTAGTGGGTTAAGAAGGTAGGTATGAGGAGTGTAGTGGGTTAAGAAGGTAGGTATGAGGATAATAAAGTAAAAGTGGACTACTCACCTTGACAGAGCAGGGTCCCTAATTTGTGGATGTCTTCTGAGTGGACAACATTCTCTGAGCGAGCAATATCTGCTATCAGAGTCACTTCATCCTCGCTATCACTATCGGGTGCTAAACTCTGAAGGGCGGAATATGGAAGATGTTATCAAGACTTTAGTGCTCTTATACAAGACATTTAGAGAAAAGGATCGCATAGCATAACAAAAAAAAGTTATTTGAAACAATAAGGTTGTTAGCTCTGTAAAAAAGTGGTTTAACTTCCACCAATAAAACTTTAACAGTTTCAGAATATTTACCCCACACATTTGATATATTTCCATTCAATTGAGGGCACGGTTTGGTGTATGTGACCGTGTTTGGTTTCCAAACAATTTTTACAGACGGGGCAGTATTTTATTCCAATAACATTTTGCCGTACTTATTGCTGTGATATGTTACAATAAGGTACTCAATAACGGGATTGCGGGAGATTATGTTTTTATTTATTTTGTATTGTAACCAGCCAAATTACAGAAAGCCCAAAGTTTCCCGATAAGTTTTTGGAGTAGACCATGGGAGTCTTTATCTCACTCCGGGGAACTTCCATTATACCACCATCCCTCCTGAGCTTTCATCGAGTATTTAACCGAGGAGACCTCCAATATTAATTAGTAATGATAACTTTTTGCGATCTTTGTTCTACGAAATTACCTAATTGACGCAAATTTTACCACCATTAATAATGCTTGTAGTTTTGTACTGGATATATTATTTGAAAGATCAAAGACCGGTAAAAATTAAAATTGCATTAGACTATAACTAGTGATCAGACAATAATCGCATTAAAATTGGAAGTAAGTAAGATCATAAAGATACGACATAAATTTCTGTTATCAAGGATGAACTTTATTAGTTATCCTTTATTTTTAATAATTACATTACAAACAAATACAGTCATTATCGAATAGAGCGAATTAGTGAGTTCAATTAAGATTTGTTCTCATTTCAAAGTTTACCAGGTTACGTAGCTTGAGATCCTTTGATTTGAGATCACTTATAATCAACTTTTAATAAGATCCTCTTTTTGACATGCCACTTTACTTTGTTATGAAATTGATCAAATGATTTCTCAAAATATCGACAATAGACACTAGACAGTTTAGGTTTTTTTAAAGCCATCCAGAATTTTGACAAAACTTGTTCTTCAAATTAATTATTTACACGAGTAATAGTCTTACAGTTCAACGCCATTGATCCCAAAGATAATTTTCGTCTTTCAAGTCATTTTCTTCAAGAATAGTCAACAAAGTTGCTATTCAAAATGTATCTGTCTGTACCATTTCTTGTAATTCTATCGCTGTCGATGTTTTCAATGAAAAACCAAAATTCCTTCACAGAAATATAAGAAATGGCTCCACTTAACCCAGAGGAGAACTTATCAGACCCAAAACTGCCAAAGTTCAAAGATCAAGTTTTTGACGATATCAAGAGATCCTGTCGGTCAGCAGACAAACTTTGGACGGATCCTGAATTCGGTCCAAATGAAAGGTCTCTGTGGGAGGAAACGCCCAAGATGGATAACATAGAATGGAAGCGTGTCCATGACATTAGCAAAGAAGCACGACTCTTCATCAAGGGTCACAGCGAGGATGACGTCCGGCAAGGATACATTGGTGACTGCTGGTTTGTGGCGTCCGTAGCTTGCTTCGCTCTGCAAGACTCTCTCGTCAAAAAGGTTATCCCGAGTTACGAGAAACAAGAGTTGAACTCGGAGGATTACTGTGGTGCCTTGTTGTTCCGATTCCACAGGTTTGGAGAATGGATGGAGGTGGTGGTGGACGACTATCTGCCCACAAGGAACGGTAAACTTGTCTTTATGTTCGGCAAGAATCCTAACGAATTCTGGGCTGCTTTTTTGGAGAAAGCCTATGCTAAGTTAGCAGGTTGCTACGGAGCATTATCTGGTGGAGCATCAGCTGACGCCCTTAATGACCTCACAGGTGGAATCAGTCAGAAGATAGACTTCTATGACGTGGGACGCAGTTTTAGTGCCCGTGTGAAAGTGTACAAGCAGCTCCAGAAGGCGCTGTCTCGTGGCGCACTAGTTGGTTTGGGTATCCAGATGATGGAGGGGGAAGGAGTGGAGGCAAGCAGAGACAACGGTTTGTTTGCTGGACATGCTTACAGCCTACTCAGGTGCTTTGACCTACCGTTAGAATCTCTTGGTATTGATGGTAAGCGCGAGCTGGTCAAGGTAAGGAACCCATGGGGTGAGGCAGAGTGGAACGGCAGTTGGGGGGATGACTATGTATTATGGTCGGTCATCGCAAAAGCAGATAAGGATGCTTTGCAGTTTACAAACGAAGACGATGGAGAATTCTGGATGGAGCTTGATGATCTGATGGACAACTTCAACAACATGACCATCTGTAGGATGATAAACACAGATCCTAGCGGTGGAGATGATTGTTGGCACCAAGCCCAAGTCAAATCAGCCTGGATACCAGGTTCTACGGCCGGGGGTTGCACCAATTATCTGGACACCTTCTTCACTAACCCGCAAGTACAGTTCAAGATAAATCACCAACACGACGAGACGGTGCAGATAGTCCTGGAACAGAAGGACATGAGAATATCGGAGAAGGATAACATGTCCATCGGTTACATGATCTTTAAGGTGGCGGATGATAACACGGAAAAGGTGGATTCTGTGATGGATATTCTGGAGATCCCAGCTAGCACCAACTTAATTAATAAACGTCAGCTGTACAATAAGTTTGAGCTGGATGTTGGGACCTACGTTATCATACCCTCTACCTTTGATCCTAATGTGAAGGGAGAGTTTCTCCTCAAGATTTTCACTGAGAATGAAGCTTACGTTACTGAACTGCATTAGGGATATGAGAACTCATTGTTTATTTAAACTTGGAGTTAAAGACAATTGTTTCACAATTCTCTGTTATGATCTATAATTTCTGAACTCGTTAAACTTGAAATATCTTTTGATTATAATCTATCTTATGATATTTATTCCGGGTTTACTTTTATTGACCGTTAAACTTTGTTTTTGAAATGGTGCTTATTGTGTAAAAAATAGGCAACAATTATTAATTATTAATATTACCTTTTGCCACTTGGGAGGAAGAAAATTACACACTTGATTTCTAGGATGTATAATTGTAATGAAAAATATATAAAAATACTTATCAAATATATAATTGTCTGATTTTTACGTTACAAATTAATAATATCAAAGCGCTTCTCTAGCTCTAGGGTTTGCGGCAGCAGCAGAACCTGTAGTACGTGATATCAATGCCTTTTCTGTTGATTTAACTTCATCAAACGCAACATTAGTGTTTCCCGGAGTGGCACAACCGTAGTTGTAGAAATAACCAATCGGTGCAGTGTAGGAGGTAGCTTTCCCGAAATTACCTTGTATTGCTACGTCAGCATCACATGCTGGAGTGGATGTATCAGCACATTGAGCAGTACAAGATCTAGTGTTCTCCTTCGCTAGGACGATATTAGCCCAGGGTCCCGTGCCTCCAGAAGCGGTGCTGCCTCTACAAGCTGCTGCTGATGCCACGTGCAGACTGTACCATGCCACCTCCTTCTTCATTTCCATCATCTCCTCGCGCACTGCATCCACCTCCTTCTTAGCCTCCAACTCACTCCTCATAGCTTCTCTTACTGAGATCCGAGTCATCTCTTCTTCTATAGAGCAGGAGTTTACTACGGACACTAGCACAGCCACAGTAATGATAGCGGTCAGCATGATTTTATTCTTTGCTTTAATGTTGGAATGATGAAAGTTAGTTGGTAATAAAAACTGTCTATAACTTGTGATAGTTTAATATTAAAATATTCAGGATGATATTTGTCATGAATTCTGACATTTAATTGTGAAAATTGACTGACAAGGACCGGCTAGTCCGCTCACGCCTCTATAAAAAATTAGCAACAAATGATATAAAATTGTTACACGAAAACTGAACGTATTTAAAAGAAATAAACTCATATTCTGAGATCCCTAGATCTAGGATCAGGACCACTGGACTAGGTCCCGATAACGAGTTTCTCACAAGATAACAAACTGGGACCGTCAACACTTGAAGAAATAGTAACTTCGATCGATTTCGGTATAATGAGATGATGATATGTGACTTTGAATGATATCCAATGTGGACAATGGCTCGGAGACTGAAGAAATAATAATTATTATAACAAAAGTCAAAACAGTTCCCTCAACAGCAACATGAACAGTATTGTGAGTAACTTACGTGACCACAAGTACTTTATCATAATAAAGTTTGACATACGAATCTGCACAAAACGTACCTCAACATTTGATGACAGGAACTGTGGGACCTCTAAAGTAACACCTCCACCTCCGTTCTCTATATCCACAACCACCAGACCAGAGGTCTCCTCTTCCTCATTCTCCTCCTCCTCACCACCTGGTAGTAGCACTACCGACCTGCTCTGTTTGAGGCCGTGTCGGGGCGGTTTGTGGCGTGGTAAACGATGTGATTTTGATCGTCGTACCACGTGACGCTTGCACGTGCACGCTTCTTTAAAACAGTCAGGGTTACCACATGTCTTCCTCCTGAAACAATAAGGAGCATTAGTAAATTAGCGTGACAGTTTATTTGGTTTTAACTTGGAACACACATTACCAAATTCTTCGCTAAACAGTAAAGATTCATTTTTGTTAACATAAAAATAAAAGAAAGTCTAAATGTGTGAGCACGATATGCTTTATTCAAGATATCAACTGACCTATCTTTTCTGTGTGTATTCTGATGAGGTGACTGCTGTGGGGTGTTGAGTGGGGTGTCGTCCCCTGGTTCCGTACTTCCTACACTTTCTTCCTGCAGTAGTATAATTCGTCTTACATCGTGTTATTATTCCACTTATTAACAATCACTATGTATTATACTTAGAGTTCTCCAGTGACTATGTAATATCCACTTAAAGTCAGGGAGGAGGAATGGAGCGGGTTAGGAGCCTGACTGCTATATGATCGGCATTCTTGGAAACAAGAACTCGAGTTCTTTGTAAATGGAGTGATAATTTCTTGAATTATTAAGGGTTATCAATGAACGTAAAAATAGGGACGTATTTGAGTTTGGGATTTTGAACCTCCACATAATCCTGAATCACACACATTTACCCTTTTTGAATCCGCCCTAAAAGAAATCCTGGCTACGCGAGCTGAACTCAGGACTCTACAAGTTTCCCGGACACCTTCCCTCGAGAAGATAGAGATAAAAGCGAGTAGAAAGATAAGAATAGTGTCGTGACAGCAGCAAACCCAGCACCAGCACCGAGAGATGCTAATCATTTTGTGATTATGAATTCCTAATACGTCTAGATCTAGCGACGTTGTGTGGGTTGCTGGTCAGTGGGTTAATAATTCTGCACTGTTGAGACTTCCGCTCGCAAGCACGCTTGTTCCTAGCTCGGTTTTCTTGAATGAAAGCAGCCACACATCATTAGAACGAGTACCATATCCCGGAACAGAAAAGAAGATAACGATGAAGTGGTAAATGAATAAGGATGCTTCAATACTTGGTAATACTGAGGTGATGTGATAAATATCATGTGCATGCGTTCAAACGCTAAAATTAAAAATTCTCTCAGACATATTATAAGTCAGTTATTTAAATTCAGAAAGTTCACACTATTGAAATAACAACTTTCTCGAGACTATTTTGACTAGTAATTTTCAATTAGTTTATCTTCCCGTTAAAATGGTGTCAAAACGCCATTAACAATTACTAATTAATTGGTTATGTGAAATATGCATATTCCGCAGTTCGCACATTGCAGATAGTTCATGCACGTGACCCCGTTAAATAACATAGATCACACAAACGAACACAATTCGTCACACATTTTGTCACACATTTTGTCACACATTTTGTCACACATATTGTCACATATTTTTTCACACCTCAGTCCGTTCCTCAGTGCCCCAGTACCACACACTCGCCGCCTGAACTCCTGAGGGGGTAACGCTGTTACCGTGACAACATCTTTAGTCTTTACTCAGGAGAACAAACATACTTCAAGGGGGTAACACGAGGCAAATTACTACTGATATTATATTGAAAAGATTTACGATTTCCGTTGATACTAAATGATCTCCAACCTAAGAGCAGCTGATGCTAAACGGATACAATGGTTTTATCAGGTTTTACAGCTTTACTGAGTTGCTTATGTGAAATTAATCAATAAATCGAATCAAGAAAGTTGTCATTAGCATAGTTAATTTGCATAGTTTAGATAGTGAAGAACATAATGTTGAACTGAGGCTGGAACAGCTGTGAGTGTGTGCACTGCAACCTTTATACACTCTATAAACAGTGAGCACCATGTATAATATACAGTGCATAATATACAGTGTATAATATATATATAAGATAAACTGTGTGCACTGTATATTATACATGTATAATATACAGTGCACACAGTTTATCTTGCACTTAGTGACATCTGTGGCGCAGACGTGCAGCATTCTTGAAAAGATACCTGCAATACCTGCGAGAAACCCTGCACCAATGCTCATCACGTCGCGTGTATTCATTCCACGTGCAATTCCCCACTTCTCAAACTTGCACGTGCAAATCTAGAGAAGCACCGGGTTAATCCTTGCTGTCAACACTCATCACGACAAGTATGACGGGGAGGTCTTTGGTGGCAATATTGTATCACTATCAGCAACAAATTGAAACTTCTCAAAATATACAGACAGTTTTGATACAGTAATACGACGAAATCAAATTAACACTCGTCTATAATCGAAAGGTAAATAGCCAATTACTGTGTAGTCAAGGAAGCAGGTGTTGTAATTGAATGGCTGTGTGTAAATGAGTTGTCATGGTTAATTGAAAATATGAGCATATATTATGTTAATAGTCATCCAATCTTCACATCAGATATTAACCCCCCCCCCCCCCCCCCCCCCAATATTTTCCATTTTATGTTCAATGAATGACTTGGGAGGTTGCATAATTACTATGAACACACTTGGCTGCAGTTCAAAAATTAATTATTTAATACATACAGCACTAATTTGGGACAATCAAATAATGAAATAATGTAAAAGGGTGTCACTTAAAATAAAGCCAAAGACAATTTACTCGACGGCGCGCGAGCCTTTCTCTTCCTCCACCGAAACTAAGCCGGAATTCGGTAGATAAAGGACAATGATAGCCATGCCAGACTGGAAGTTCATTGCTACAAGAACATTTTACGATGTCCGTAAATATTTGTTTCAAATATTACATTTACAGACTCAAACTCAAAGTTGAAGACTACGCAGTCCAGCGTGCGGGTCTGTAGGATATGAACCCACAACACAGTAGCGAAATTAAATATCTACTTTGTAGCTTTAAATATGTCCAAAAACAACAGTTGAAGCTAGTAACTCCATAAACAATGATTTTACAATTTCTTACGACTTGAAAGACGACTTAAGAGACAATTATAAAGGTACCTGAATGTTAATGAGGTTGACAGTCTGTATCAGAGGAATCTGAAACTTCCTAGTGAGATGATAGGAGTGAGGGAGATCAGGGTCTTCTTCTTCTGTTTCTTTTATATCACAAATTACGCTGGTGCTGTAAATTGAGAGAAGGTAACAGAATTTGGCGAGAAAGGTGCACCGCCTCGCTTATTATTTAGGAGTCTGGGGTGTAAAATCTATCACTTTCGCCTTGTATTACGTTCAATGGGACTAGACCTAATATAAATAAATATATTGTAGCGACAGCCGACAAGGCCAAGTCGAACTTACTGTAAATCAGGAAAAGAGACAGTTATGTAAATGAACTTACTCTAAAACGGGAAAAGAGACGGTTATGTTTACTCTGAAAACACTGCTGAAGTTCATGAAGCCCTTAATAAACAAGTTCTCCATGCTACCATTAAATTCCTCCACTTTGGGGTCGTAGTCATGACAATTCAGTGCGGAGTCAAGGTTACCAAGACTCTCCCGATTATCCTGACTAAGATTACAGTGGGAAACAATCTCTGCGTTTACTGTGAAGTAAGACGGCATTGTTTGGCTCTGAAACTCAAACTTGTGCTTTTTGTTGTCAACTCTGAAACTTGATTTAGATTAAACTGACATTTAGATTTTTATCACCGGACAATTTTATTTACTTTATGCTTATTTTTGCCACCGCAATGGGTAATTACAAATTATAAAAATAATCGATAAATGTGGGCTGATTTTACACTCTTTTTGTTTGTTTTCGTGAGAAGCGGTTCCCCTTTAGAGTTGTATTTATTACGTCTTATCCTGATTCCCTATCTGTAAATTATATGTCAATATATGTACTTAGATCACCAACGATCATTCTTAAAATGAAATCGATGACTCCATAATAGTAATACCAACTAATTAATTAACTAATTAATTAATTGCAACCTCATACTTACCCTGACTGAGGGCAGATTCCCGAAAACTCTTCACAGAAGTAGCTTTCGTTGATGTATCTCGTTTGGTGACAGACAAATTTAGCCTGAGATTGTTGGCAAGTGGGAAAAATTGACGTTACTTTAGGAAAAAGTTACTGATAGTCGGATTAATTTAAGGAATCTTTTAGCAACAGTGTGTGACGGTAACGGGTAAGCCAGGCTTGTTTTCCAACTGCAGTTTCGCCTGTTTGAAATTTGAATCATTTTTACCAATTGTGGTAAAAATGAATTTGGGGAGCAAGTACTATTTAGCACTAATTTCCAGCCCTCCAATAAATCTTAACGTGCTGTTTAAAGTCGATTCAGCAAAATTATTCGTTAAACAACTTCGAATTTGTTGGATTCAATGAGCATTAATTTGTTTTATGGAAACAAGTTCTAACGATCTTATATCAGCTTGAATCAAGGTGGTTTCGCCCTTTTATTCCACAAAATATACAAATTGAACTTAACTACTTTGTAAGTGAAAATTTGTGTGAAATTAGAGGCCAAAGAGGGTACATGTACCTTTTGCATTCGTTCTTCCATTTTAGAAACAAAACTCCTTTTATAGTTTAAACGAGAAATCTGAAAGCAGAAAGTATCACAAATTTAATGAACAACAAATATATAATAAACGCTCTGCAAGACTCAAATGTCTCCAATGTCTCCAATTCATTGCCCCTTGGCCTTACGAGCGATTATCAAACTAAGATGATAAATGTACAATGAACATACTCCATTGTACATTATGTATTTACCATTTCTGACGGCAGTATCAATTAATAAACAGAGGAGATAACAAATGATACGAAATGTTAAAGTGAGCGACTCTTGTTATCTTTACATATTATCACTTTTCCAACTATCCCTACATTATCACAAAATATTCACAGTCTATTATCATCATCACATACGGCTGATGATTCTAATTCTCAACATTGAAAATATTTTAACTCGGAAAGTGAAAATTATGCTTTAGAGTTTAGCCACTGTAATCAATATTTAATCAGTTATTAGGATATATTCTTAAGAACAAGTCTCTTAAACAAGTCTGTGTTAAAGTATTGTATCAATTGTATTGCATGAATAATAAATGTTTAAAATATGACCGGTAGTGACAATTTAAGCAGGAAATAGAAGTTTCTAGCCCCAAAGACCCTAAAATTAAATCACCGACCATCTTACTAATAGTTCAAACTTCTCCGCCAGTCTTCAAAGATCAGTTTTTGAACTTGTTCAGTCAATCAATCTCCAAAGTGATCAACCAGCTTTCAAAGTCTTCACACTCCCTTTACCTTCCCCATACTTCTTCCTTATCCCCAAAATATCGTCCTCAAACAACCTGTCCGACCCTGACCAGCCTTTAGTCTCCGCATCGTACACCGGAATCATGACAGTGTCCGCAACATCCGAGTGCTCGAGCCCCAGAGCATGTCCAAACTCATGAACAACAAAGAACCTGAGGTTGATCCCTCGGTCCGAGTTCCAGGAGTAGGTCTCGTCGTTATCAAAGTGGATGTGACCACCCCGAGGAAAGTAAGCGTGTCCGACCACCCCGCCAGGGCCGTCAAATGGGTCATCGTTCTTTGGTGAGCTTATGTTCTTCTTAGGGTGCTCTCCACTCACAAAAAAGATTGTGAAATCCGCTGACTCTGCTTCAGCCGCTCCTACCTCCCTGAAGAATATTGGAGCTACTTCCGTCCATCTTTTAATGCCTTCTTCGATTTCCCTCTTGCATACGTTAAGAGGCATGGTGTTCGTACAGTTCTTCACATGGTATGTTAGCTCTTTTTTTGGTGTTCCTGTTTTCCACGCGCGTTTTCTCAACACATATCGTTTAGAGCGGACATTCTTGATCTTCCTATTCCGACCAAATTTCTTTTTCCTTTTCTTTTTACTGGACGGTATATCACGCATACCACACCTATCTTTTTTCAACTTCTTGATCGTCGAATAATCAAGTTTATTGGTCACCGCTAAACCGTTAAATTTCTGAAACTCCCCAATAGCCTTCTCTATCTCACAGGGTGTAGCAAATTCATCCCACTTGTCCAAATCCTGCAGTCTACTCTCTGAAAGTTTCATGGCTTTTTGAAGGTACCCGAAGGCCAGCAGGTATCCCAGTACTGTGCTCGTTTCTCCAGCCACATTGTTCAGAGCTTTGATAAATCTAAGTGAGATAGGTCGCTTAGTATCAAGATCTCCTTCCTCAACGTTTAAATCACCAGGATCCTGCCCAATATTCCCCAGAATCCTCCTCAAAATGGACAGTTTGTTTCTCAGTTGGTGTTTGACTAACGGTTTGTGAGATCGCAGCCGCTGGTACCTAGCTGTCAGTTTGAAGATGCGTCTCTTCACCTCCAGCTCAAACGTTGAGTCGGAATCTTCAAACTTCCTCTCCCGAGCCAAACAATCCACTAAGTCAAGCTGACCTGCGTTTTCGCTGTCGATACTACTGACAATTTCCTCTATCTGACCAGGAGGCTCAGGAGATAAAAGGGACTGGGTGGGACCAGTGATGAAGTCGCCGTAATCAAACTGAGTGATCACCTTGTTTTGTGAACCGTCAAACTTATCTTCTGTCTCCTGACGGTCAATATTTGAGCCATCTCTTACGGGTTCGTAACTCTTTCTGGAAAACACGCCGTTGTCTTCAATCTCACCCTCCTCTGGGTCAGGAGCAGTTGTTATCGGTAGCAGGCCATAACTAGAAGAACTGGAGAGGGTCTCTTTAACGCCAGTCCAAATACCTGGGGGTCCTCTCCAAATACCCCCAGCCTTGTCATGATAAACATAAGCCGAAGATGTGTCGAAAAGGAGCAGGGCTGCAAAGCACAGAAACATGTTCCTAGCGCAACAAATCAACAACACAAACCTCCGTACAACAAATCGAATTTGCGAGATGAATATAACGAAGGGTTATCAGGGACCGCCTTTATACTTTATTTGGACGAATGTATGAGTTACAGGAATATGGACTCTTATAACTGTAGTGATCTCAGGAGGTTAATAGATCACACCGCGGTACTCTGAACTATCCTTATAGTAGACTTTGAATAGGTTTTTACTGCAGCTTAGCTACCGGTACCACCCAATTCAACGGATTACGTAATCATATCACTAGGAAATGGAATGGGGCAATGTAGTAGGAATTAGATCATGGTGGGAACCTTAATTCAGCAGTTCATCGCAATGATCAGGTGACATTTTATTACTACAACAATTTAAAAATTTGGCCGAGCTCAAATTTCATGAGAGTAGATTTCTAATACCAGGTAAAGGAACGCCTCGCTTATACAATGTAAGGGGAGGCCGGGGAAATAAGTTGGCAATTCCCCTCGTCACAAACCTCTGATTGAGTTTTTTCTGTAGTGACGCCATTGCGGAGGAGTACATCTCGTGGTCTCAATCCTGTAGTTGTATTGGTTCTAACAGTGCAGAAAACCGGTGATAGATTTAAATGTACTAACTGCTGATAGTGATAGGCATGATCTCACCACTAAGATCCTGAATTTAATGACATTGAAATTACGTAAGTGGTTAAAATAGCTGGCACAAATAGGAAATATAAAACGACAGAGTAAAACCAAATGATTGCACTGACCTAATAAATCCAGATTCCTGACGTCCTTTATTCTTCATCTACATTCATCACTGATCCTAACATTTAACTGTGGCAGAATCCAGATAGCCCGAGTCCCGACAGTTGTCCACGGACAGTTGTCCACAAACATCTTATGACATCATGTGCAGTGTGCAGACTATGTTTACATCTACCAAGTCGACCAATTAGCGATAAATTGACACATAAATGATATTATAGTTCCTCAAAACTAACGAGGTTAGTGAATCAGTGATAGTTTTAGAGATTTTTATGTCGCACTTCGGAATCTATTTCACATTCCTGCGGTTCATCATGGTCAATCTAACAACTAGATCAGCACTCAGAAACTCTAGAAACACTTCCCAGAAGAATATTGCAGAAATTTCCTCAGCTCAACCCATGACATTTGCCTCAAGGAAGATTAACGAATTCCTCGCCCGCATTGGAATTGCGCTTGTGACGTTATATTATTCTCCAAACTGCAGAACTCTTTTATGACTGAAGAGGAATGTGGCAGGTATGTAGGGAGTGAGTTGAACGAAGGGACATGACTCATCCCTTGAGGAAGACGGTAGTTCTTGACGCAACTATCTAAGGTTGAGTAGCTTTATGCAACTTCATACAAAACCGCCGCCAACACGAAATATGAGTACAACCAAGCTAGCAGCATAAAATATAATACAGCCAAATAAACAACGCGCGTATATATATATTATATATGTACGTACGTGCGCGTCCATACTGGGAGGTGAAATGTCATGATTTTATCATTCAATTTGCAATGCGCCTTACGCAAAGTAACAAATTTAAAGTGATTGGATGTCTAACGGTCAACAATTTCGGAGGGTTAGACTTTAATCACACAGTTCAACAGATAAAATTTCAAAATGTTTTGTTTAATATCGCAGAAATATAAAATTACATCTTAAAGACGGATTCATAACTGACCGCAAGCAAACGATTATTTTAATTGTTTTAATTTATGATTAGAAAATAAACTTTACGTAAATCAGAAATTTAAATTAACCACGGTGAAATATCAATCTTGTCTGCAGCAAGCATAAAAAATCAAAGACGACAGCATGTAATTCACAAGACTGGTGCAGAATTCAACGCCACAATCTATCATTACGTCAAAATGAAATAACATAAATCTTGAAACAGCTAGAAACAAAATAAAAGAAAACTTGTTCTTTTCAAACTTGGCACCATCTGACATGACAAACTAGTTTCTATCTTGTTTTTAGCCGCCTTCATTTATCTAAATTTTTTTACCTAAGGGACCATCTCGAGCAAAGCTCTGGACTTCACTCAAAATACATGCAGACCATAAGTATCTTTTGACGGTCGTCATTCATCACTTATGAGTAAACATTTTCAATATCACATAACTTGTAACATTTAACTACTTTGGCTACTTTTAAACATCTTTTAATTAAACTAAATCAAAATCAAGCACTATTTCATTGTGCTGCATTTGGATGTTTCGAGTCTTTTAACAACATCAATCAAAACGAGATCAGCACTTCAACGAGATCAGGAGGGTCAACAGATTCACGACCAATTTTAAGTGTTATTCAACTTGGTCTCACTCAGTCTGACTAAATCAAGGACACAAAAATTATCACTCCAACAGAAAAAACCAGCTATTTTATCAACAATCAACACAGATTTTAAACCAGTCAATCCACTCAATGACTAACAGCATGTCACGTGGCATCGTTATTGCTAGGTCCTGACTTCTGATGGTCAGGTTTGGCAGACATTCTAAGTGCTTTACGCAGACCGTTCAGAAACACAACACTCTCTGGGCGGTTTGTCTTAGCGAGGATCACACTTCGCCCACCGAATGAGTCTATAGAGAGCATGTGGACTCCATCACTCCCCTCCTCGGTCACTCTGAAACTCGTTACCTGAAAGGAGGAGAGTTTAGTCAAACACAAGGATATATCTTATGAATCTAAGTTCTACTGAAAAAGAGACAAAATATAAGTGCAACATTTTTTTCCAAACAAGAAATGCGGCCGCTTTTCTTTTGTGGATGGCCGCTCAATTTCCCGATCCGTGATGGCGTATTTATCATATTCCATACAACCTGGGGACGGCCCAGTCTTTACTGTTTATATAAATTATAAAAATGCAAATATGGCGAAGTGACATGCCGACTGCCGAGCGCCGCCCAGTTATAATTCTATATTGAATTTGAAAATCGTGTATACTTCTATGTAACCATATGTTTTTTGTTTATGCAACCTGACACGGATCTGTGCAAAATAGTAATACTAACTCAAAATAATAATAATATGCTATCAATTAGTGCCTAGTGGGATACGTACATGATGAAATTAATAATGTACTTGGTTGGTTCAGCGCCGCGCGCCAACAATTATATAATTTAGATTATCACGCAAAATAACTTTGCGCAGGTAGTCACGTGGGCGATAACAGTGCTCGCAGGCACGCACGGTCGCACAGTCGCAAAGCTACCATATTTTAAAAAAACCTCGATCGCTAACCCTTGTCCTTGACTCTTTTGTGCCTTCGGCACCTTTGAGTCATGGATCGGGAAAAAATAGCTTCGTGTGGAGCGGGAGTGCGGCGAACTTTCGCGCACTTTGGGGCTTGAGTGCGGAGTGTTCCTGATAAATTGAGGCGATGTGTGGTGAATCTTCTTTCATTTTATCTTTTTATATAACGTTACATCACGTGATTGTTAAATGTTCAACATATTAACACAAATAATTCGAGGACAATGTACTACAAAGAGTTTCTGAAAATTCCAGAATTTTTGTTTTATAGAATTCTGAATAACACACATGTTTTGTCAACTGCCCCCTTTTTCTTGGGCAGGACGATCGGATCCATTTGAGCTGGTCAAGCAGGCTTAGTTTTGATAAATCATGAAATCAGTCCGATATTAGATTTTTTAAATTTGTGAGAAAGTTTTGAGTCAGTATGAATAAATGTTAACATGAGTCCTATTTGTAATTTGTTAGTAATAAACATGGGAGCATGTGATGGCTGCTTCTCTATTCCCCTATTATTCTTTATTTACCATTTTCTAAACACAAAAGCTAACACTATTATTATGTTCTATTTTTAAATTATGTTCTATTTTAAATGTGGCGTTCGACAAGTCCTTAACCACATGAAGAACAAACTTGTCATGCGTAATACTCTATTTTTTTTTTTTTTTAAAGAGAGGCTGGGCCAAGATAGCCCACGAGAGGATAGCATTGAGATGCTCTGCCTACCTCTAGGGTGTGGCAACCTTGGGGAAGGTTGCCGGTGAAATCAGAGTGATTGGTGGAGGATGGTGTAAGATGATATATGAGTCAAAATGATACGCTTAAATGCCAGCTGGGTTTGGAAAAGTAAAACGAGACGAGACAGCATATGAGATAATACTTTAAGTCACCCCGGTCTGATCCAGCTCTTCCAGCACAATTAAGCGTTTGGTGCGGTTTGCGAAATTGACAATTGTGGTGATGTGTTGGTTGTCGAATATGTCATTGACAGAGAGGTAGTAGTCCTGGAAATATTGACCTCTGATTTGGGTAATAGCTGGACACTGTCCAAGGAAGTGTGAGACAGTTTCCTCTCCGTCGCCGCACATAGGACAAGCACTGGTGTTTGATTTGCAAATGGTGTGAAGGTGTTTGTTTAAGCCGCAGTGACCCGTGATGAGGTGAACTGCAGTTCTGTAATCTTGTCTGTTTTTGCTGAGTGTAGTGTTGAGGTTTTTGATGATTTTGGCATGCTTGTGGCCGAGTGTCAGTTTGGTGTGTCTGGGACCGTCAGTTAACCAAGTTTCCTGATTCAGTCTGTTGACTTTGTTGTCGATTTGACGCTTGATGTAGGATTGTGGAATTGGACACTTCAAAGTGGATTCACTGGTTGTACCAAGCTTGGCCAGCTCATCTGCTTTTTCGTTCCCCCACAATCCGATGTGTGCTGCAATCCATCGTATCTCTAGCGTGTTGTTGGATCCGAGTGCATTAAGAGAGTCGTAACACAAAAGCTAACACTATTATTATGGTCTATTTTTAAATTATGTTCTATTTTAAATGTGGCGTTCGACAAGTCCTTACTCCTTAACCACATGAAGAACAAACTTGTCATGCGTAATACTCTATGTGTTACAGGTAAGTTCAAATGGGTCAACGCAATTGTATTTTAAAATGTGGCATCAACCTCTTTAAGCAATGGCATATACATTACATAACCTTAGATTATACATCAAATGACATGCCTAGTGCCTATACTATGCAATGCCCGGTTGATCAATTTTTCGCAGGAACAAACAATTTTACCTAGATCAGCCCCATTTTGTCCGCCAAGGTATAACATCATGAATGAACATAAGTTACTCTTATTACCAGGTTAAAACATGCTATAACAATAAATTTACCCGTTTTGTAAAACAAAGTTCAGGCTATAATAAGATAATACCCGGCCCCCGTATCAAATGACTCACAACATGACTGTTTTGTACTGTGTGATAATCGTACTGAACATGATATGCCTCCCACGGTCCCACTCTGATGTTAAAGTTTGTAATATTACAGCAGTGACCCTACTGTTACTTAGTTACCATACTGTTACTTAGTTACCATACTGTTACTTAGTTACCATACTGTTACTTAGTTACCATACTGTTACTTAGTTACCATACTGTTACTTAGTTACCATACAGAAAACGTATCTACTAATTCACAAGCTACTCATCAAAGGTGGGAGTCCCAGTTTTTGACAGCCTCTTACAGCTTCACTAGTGAGCTCTATCTGAGCTATGTTTAAAGAGAATATGAGCATTCTTTGTGGTGCTAAATTATATTCTGAATATAAAGCAAGTATAGGTAGCATTCCGGTGGCTTATGGACACGGTTTATATTCACTGGCAGTTTTGAGTTTGCAATGGATACTCAAGACGTACTGTGATATTATGTACTCGTGTACCTATAACCTAGTACCACAGAGTACACAAGTTAGTGAATTAGTAACGGTGCTATGATACCGCGCACTACTAAAATATGATCTACACAACTAGCACCATTCCGTTAATTTGAGACTCTGAAATTTGCAACGTGTTCAAAACTGTTTACTACAATAGATACTGGTGGGGAGGTGAAATTTTCCTGATCTACTTTGAGTTTTGACCAATCAAAACTTACATCATGTGTCTCATCAATATACAGATATATAACAGAAATCATTCCAGATAAACATTATCTGCATTACCAGCTACAGAAGTGTAAGCAACTCAACAAGATACAGAGATGTGGTCAGACGTGTAAGTATAGTTTTTACGGAATGTAGAAACAACTATTCGTAATCACGTGGAATGTAGACACAACTACTCTTAGAAACTGACATGGTGAGATGTTTTTACTCAAGTAACAAATTATAGTTATAGATTGAAAACACAACTTTGGTTCATTTGGGCATTTATTGATTCCTCCTCACCCCACTTGCCACTTTACGGCCTTTATCTTAACACAGTTTCCCCGGCATCCACTTCCTGGAGGGTTGCCAACAGAGGCAGCATTCCAGAGGCATCTTCAATATCATTTAGGCAGGGTATTCAATATTGTAAATTTTATAACATTAGATTACTATGTGTGTACAAGCTAAAATGCCTGCAAACTGTATTATCCAAACGTAACCTAAGTTACTGAATTTTAATCTGTTGAGGAATTTGAGGGATTGAGACCCAGCTTACCAAGATTCACTCCATTTGTTTTTTTTATAAATATCAATGACGGCCATATATCGATCAGATCATTACTTTAACTTATAATGAGACAACTGTTTATAAATGGTTCCACGGCAGCTGCATTAAGACAACATGTCGAACTTAAATAGACACATTTTGGTTTGACAGCCGTAAGGACTAAAGAATATGAAAAAAAAATCGTGTCTGACATCCCTGTAGACAGGCCGGTGTACAGTGTACACTGTATAGTCTACTGGGTAGTGGCCATTATAAACCCCTCCGGGATAGAATAAGATTCTGATAATCCCGGCTCCCGCTAAATAGATTTTGATAATCCCGGCTCCCGCTGTTAGTTTTTTCCCGCTGAATGAATAACCCCGGCATAGTTTCTATAACCCCGCCCCGCTAATTTGGCTCAACAAGATTTGTTTTGTTTTGATATTCCATGAAAATTTCAACCGCGCACTGTCACGTGTTTTGATGATGTGTATCACGTGACTAACTACTACGACGCGCATTGGTAAAAAATGTCACGTGACCTATGGCTTAACGTAAGAACTATAAATACACTTGATCTACGTATCGGTCTAATTGCAGGCGCTGGCAAAACTCCAGCACACTGCTTACATTACTTAAACTCTTACATTAATTGGACCAGTTCCAGAACTTGTCTCGACGGTTACATTTGATTTTGTCCGGTTAATTTTGTCGTGTTTGATATAAGCCATGTATTATAGTCGTCTACTTTGATGAACTTCATGACACGATATCATTATTGGCTCCACCTTTTATCGCTTGCCAGGCTTAATTCGACACCCCTTATCGATATTCATTCAACGTTCTGACGCTTACTGAGGAATAATGTTTAGATATAACGCCAATTTCAAATGTCATAGTACCTTAGTTGTACTTGTATTACTATTTATTTGGTAGTCCCCAATTCCATTCCATATTTTCCATACTGATCTCATATAGCTAGAATTAAGAGTAAAATGTCAAATTTGTTGGACCTAGCACTAACCCGGAGGGGTTTATAACACATAACACCGGCACGCTTAAGTTATATTAAAATAACCCCTCGTGCTAAAGCACGTCGGGGTTATTTTCATAATAATCCCTCGTGCTTCGCACTCGAAATTATTATAAATTTTTCCCGCGCGTCGCGGGAAAAATTGAAATATAATCCCTGCGCATGCCGGGGTTATGTGTGTTATATTAGTGGCAAGTCCCCATACATCGTGGTCCGGTAGTTTCATTGTGTCCTAATATTAGCATTTCGGCTACTGCTCGGTAAATATTATATACAATGTAACCTCTCTACTATACCGGGCCTCTCGGGGAAATGAAAAGTATATTATTACATACAGAAGTTAACTAAGATCTAGTAAATATCACATGTTGTTGACCATAATGGTACCGTATCTCCTTATAACCCTCATGGAACACAGGTCAAATTGGCAGTTATAACAGATGTTGCTAGTTAGGAGTGACTAAAGTTACAACCTTACATAATGTACTGCAACACATCTTTCGACGTCAGACATGATGGTGATATCTACAAAAGTATAAATATACAAATATACCTATTAGCCTTAACTTAGAATATTTTTATTAAATATGCTATAGTATATGCAGTAACATCCGTCATCCTGTATTGAAACGATAGGTGGAGTATAATGTCTGATATAATACTAATAACTATACATTAATAAATAATACATTGTTATTTATCATTATTCATCATTTAAGTTCCCCTATTTCGAGATGTCAGCTGAGAGATAACGTACACTGTATGCAGCATGTCTCTGCAATACACTCAAATTTCTATTTACTTGTGAAATGTGAACGCTGCTAGAGAACTCTTAATGCATGTGATGTGTGTCACTCTGATACACGAAGATAAAAACTTAGCCTTCAGCAAATTAAGGTTCAATTTGTCATTATAAATACTACTATAAATACTACTATACGTACATGTAGACACTAGACAGTCAGTAACTGTAATATTTCATACCTTTTATAACAATTAGATAAACGATAAAGCAATGGTGATCTTAATATTAGATGTACGTGATCGTATGTGATAGACTTGAGGAATTGAGGAATGTAACAATGTAACAATGAAACAGTGTAACAATCCTACCTCGTCCATAAGAATAGGAACGACAGGATTAGTCTCGGAAGTGATTTGCAGTAATCCCCCATCTCCCCCTAACGACACCGTCCCCTCATCCCTTCCTCCTGTCTCAGTCTCCACTATCAGCTGCTCCCCAGTCTTCAGCTTCATCTGGTAGTTGTTAAAATAGTCGTTCTCCCAGCGTGCAATTTTCTGGCACTTGCCACACATCCTTACTGGATCTATAAAGCGCAAGCGCATTGGGATCACCTTCTCTGTAGCGCAGTCTCCACAATACACGCCCCCACAGCGCCTACAGTGGTGCTTTCTGTTGAACAAGCCAAACATTTTGTTGCACCCAACACACGCTCTGAAGTTGTCATCAGGTGCCCAGGCCGGCTCATCCAGCTCCAGGAACCCTTTCTTACCGTGCCGGTCTATCATCCTCATCCCTGACTTAGATGTTACTAGGATCATATCCATCTTAGCTACAACAGGAGCTGGGGTTAAACAAGCAAAACAATGTGACAACATTTCAACGATAGTATAGTAGTTCTTTGAAGATTAATAAATTGAGTGATGTGCATGTTTTTAATGGGGCGGGCCATGCAGTTAACATTGTTTATCAAGTCATGATCTAATTATCTAATCACACCAATTACAATGGCTAGCCTTATAATAGCTTGTAGAATGATCGCGTGTAACAATTTAATTGATGTATCTTTAAGAGCCTCTCTCCTTCTATTAAGTTATATGTCATATGTGTAACTTAACAAGTGCATGTAGTTTTATGAATTATAAAGTGGCATCAATGTGAATAGACCCCTAAAACACATTTAATATACCACAATAACCAAAATACGTTATACGGAATATAATGTACCTCTATTACTAGTATAAAAGGTACTTCTATTAGTAAGACCCAATAATGCGTTTAAATTGTATAATAATATTACATGTAAAACAATAAACACAAGCTTAATAGCTTATATAAAACACCTACGAATGCAAGATATGCAGATTTAATGATATTATGACTTGTACAACTTTTCAATTTTCAATGGACAAAAATTTTCACAAACCGCAAGAACTCAAAATGAGTTGTCAAACAACGCAGTTTTTCCCAGTTTATACAAATTAAATAAAGGACATCATATCCTGCTATAAAATATTTTAATCACAAATACATCTAATAGAATAGTGTTCAGCTATCATTAATAACATTCTCAATATTAGGACATAATTTATTGTGAGTTCCATGTAAACTCTATTTACAAAATATGTCATAAAGCATAAAATATTTGAAAGCAGACAGTCTGAAATTTAACATTACATGAATGAGTCAATATCACTAGATTCAATTTGACGGCACGTCACGTGGCACGATATGACGTCACGTCACGTGGTGTGACGTCACGTGATTTAGTGGTTAGGATCGTCAACACCGCTCTGGTGCATGAGCTCCCCAACATTCCTCTCCAGCTCATCCAGCCTGACCCCCATCTCATCTATACGCCCTATTATTGAGTCGGACATCACTTGGAACTTACCTTGCTGAAATAATGATACAGTCAGGATTTTCCTCTCAGGTAAAATTTAAAAGTTTAAAGAATTTACTCGACAAAACCGAACTTGTTTCCGAAACTAAACTGAAACTAGCTAATTTGGTTGAGCTAATGTGGAAATCAATTCAACGATGTAGCTACCGTAACAATTGATAAATTGTTACAAATATCGCTTAATATTTAAATTACAATCCAGTGAGAGCACAATATATTTTGTACCTTTGAAAGAAAGTCCTAGCCTGCAGTTTGCAGTAGGTGATTACAGAAATGGAGATTTGATATTAACGTAAAAGTTGTTCCCAAAATATGTTAAAATCCACGTGATAAACATATTAAATAGAACAAAATATGAAAGAATATATTTGATATAGGTTTAAGATAATATCTATTGTTACTGTGATAATAATTGTACCCAAAATGGGTTTAATTCAAATTTCAACAACCAATCTAAGTCATGTTATGACAATGATAAGGAGTTCAAGTTTTGATTGGTGAAGTATAATTATAAAAACTGAACATTAATTTCAAATAAAGTTGTTACTATACCATATCAGTGAGCAGCTTATTCACCACCAGGGTCAAATCTTGCACATTCTTTGTCTCCATCTTCTTTGAATCTATGTCAGCCATAACAGTGATTGATTCTTCTAAATAGATGATTTTATGTTGATAACATTATTTTTTGAAACTAAAATACCATGCTATCAGATTTAAAGCAAACCACTTCAAAATTTACCCTCCAAGGGCTTCTGAAGGGTAAATTGTGAAGTGGTTTGCTTTAATTCGGATTAACAATGAAGTTTGCTATTAACCTGTCAAACTTATCACTTAAAGACGTGTTGGTCCAAAAGGCTACTATTGCAATTGTGACTGCCAACGGATTAGCCAGGAGTTATTATTAGTTGCCACCCTCTCTCTTTCCACTAAGACCCATTTCCACTGGGGTAGGGTCACAAGAAGAAAAGCAATGCTAATAAAAGATTCAAAGCATAACAATTATAACTAATTGGTACAATATTCTGTTAATATATTAGTAAATTAAATTATTATTTATTATTATTCTGTAAATCCTTCATAACAATAGATAGCTTTATGATTATAAATGCACACAATGTAGGAAGGGATTGTTGCATATTACATAACTGAATAAGATATTTTTTTCCCAATATATCTATATGGTTTGTCTAACCAGTGGTGTAACAAAGGGCCTCCCAGACCCCGCCTTGTGGGAGGGGGGCTATTTTTCAAACAAAGATTTTTATGAAAAATTGTAAGATTTGGTAAATAAATTGACCATACCGGATGCTTTCAATAACTACTATGATTCAAGAAGGAAAAATTGTCCGATATGGCATCATAATGTATCTGAAAATGGCAATGATTGTGGATCATTCAGATGTCTTCCTAATCCTTTCCATCTGACTAGTCGTAGCCGAGCCAATGGACTATAGAAATATAATTAGGGTAACTCTTATGATCAGCTTATCTATGTTGGACGGGGTAGACTAGTTCCAGAACAATAATGTGGAAAGAGTGGGTCAGTACGAATCACTAAATCAGTGCCAAACGATTTTGAATTCTAGAACGGATCAGGTGAAAATTTGCAATCATTGGAAGGAATTTGTCATGCGAATAACCTGTTCACTGTGACCGACTAGTGAGGATTACGGGAGCATTCAAATCTGATTAGCATCTCAGACTGGAATTAAACGCCTTGGTGTGGTAATGACAAGGCCATACAATTGAACTTCCTCCAATCACTATTTACACGACAGTAAGTAAAAGTTTATCTAGCAAGCATGATGTCAGTACGGGCTGGTAAAGCTTTATTGAGAGGGAAAGAAAATGTGGGTACATCTCAGACCCACTTTTTTTTAAATATATACACATAATGTCACAATTACCCTAAAGTAAGTAAGTAAGTAAGTAAAGATTATGACATAACATCATCACAAGTGTCTACAAAATATCATAGCACTAAATAGAAAAATAATTTAAATAAGTTTTAATACTTTCAACACTACTATATAACAAATAATTTGAGGTTTTTACTGCGTTTTAAACGACGACCAACAGCTTTTAGTGGGTTTATCAAGTACTTTTCAGCACTTACCACTATATTTATTTGGTTTGAGTTAAAGTAGAGAGGTCTCAAATCCTTTACAGCAATGGTTATCACTGATGTCTATGACAAGATGGAAAAGGAGTTAGAAATGTTAAACGACAGTTTAAAAGGTAAGAAGAAGTTGGATACTATAATTGCAGATTCTTTAGACTTACCCACAGGGAATAGCAAGCCGGATATGTTTGAAGTTATAAAGGAACTATACAGTTTCAGTAAGAGGGCCCTGTCACTACTGAAGACCAAGTCTAAACTAGACACACCTGCACCACAGGAAGGGACAGCTACCAAGGCACTAGATATAGTGAGAAAGGAGCTAGCACAATTTAGACAAATTCTCATTGAGCACAATAAAGGTGGTCCAGATATTATACCTGAGATTAAGACCAATCTCGGACCCAGTGAGACTCATACTTTAACTCTGGAAGGGCAGAATGAGGCAGATAAGATAACAGAAGAACTCTGGTCCTCAAAGGTGAAGAAACATGTCGCATCAATACTGCCCAGCATCCCTATTAAGGGGGTCTCAGGTGTCAAAGAAGGCACAGCAAGGTTAATATTCAAGAACAAGGAACTTATGGAGAAAGCTAAAGATGCTCTTAGTGTTGACTACAAAGTGTCTGCAAAATCCCACACCGTGACAATGCTTGAACCTAAGCTTACTATGTATGATCTCAAGAGAGATTTTGAGTCATCTGAAGAATTGCGCCAGAGCATCCTTGATAAGAACAGTTCCATTAAGAGTTTAGTTGAAGATGAGAACAACACTTTCAAGGTTATTTTCCTGGAGAAAAACAAGACCTGGGCATGCCTACAAGTGTCAGTGAAAATCAGGCAGTCTATAAGGGAGTCAGGTGACTTTGTACACGCTGATCTTGGACAGTATAAAGTTAAGGATAGGTATCATGTAATCCAGTGCTTTGACTGTCAGAGCTTCGGACACATGAGTGGCAGTGATTACTGTAAGTGTAAGAAGTATAATGCCGACCCAGTGTGCTTCTACTGTGCAGGTGCCCACAAATCGAAAGATTGTGAGAAGAAAACGGCGGGCCGAAGATCTAGTATCAAGTGTACGAACTGCAGCAACAGTAAAGACAAGAATGTCAAAGATAAATGCAAGACACATTCTGCAGCTGACAGATTATGCCCATCTTATGTGAGAGAGCAGAGTTATATCATGGCCAGAACGAGCGGATGTGAAACATCAAAAAAATCTTATCTCCAGTGGGCAAAGATTCGACAAAGAGAGCTTGGGATAAACTAGTCTTAGCCACGTTTAATGTTAATCGTCTAGTGAACAAGACAGTAGAGGTTCTTGAGCACCTAACTGATGAGGGGGTTGATATCTGTTTTCTTCAAGAGACTTTTCTTAAGGAAGCAGATACTGCAAAGCTACAAGAGATACGAGATTTTGGTTGGGGTATTTTATCCAACCCAAGGAAGCATCGTAGTGGCGGAGGAATAGGTATGATTTTCAATAAGAACCTTAAGTTGAAAAGCAACGGTAGAGTCAAGAAGTACAAGTCTTACCAAGTCATGGAAGTTGTACTTGAAACAAATAGTGGGATAATCAGACTTATTGATGTGTATAGACCGCCTTACACCAAAAAGGCCAGGTACACCGAGTGCCACTTCTTGGAAGAATTCAGTGAATACCTGTGTGATTTGTCCGGTAAGCCAGGAACCCCGGTGATTGCAGGGGATTTTAATTTACATGTTGAAAGACCTAAAGATCTTTACCCCGCAAAGTTTCTTTCCCTTCTTGATCAGCTTGGTTTCATCCAATGTGTACCACTAGAAAGAACTCACAATCAAGGAGGAACTCTTGACCTCGTGATAACGACCAAAGTCTTTAAAGGCTCTATAACTTCTATCAACATTGTGGAATCTGGGACTAGATCAGATCGTTTTCTTGTTAAATTTGTAGTGTCTGTGAGCCTGAAGACCTCTTTGAATGATACTAGGGTGATGAACTACCGTGATTTTAAAAGTATTGTGGTTGAGGATTTTAAAGCAGATATTTTGGTTTCTGATCTCTGTAAAAGAGATGCTTGGTGCTCTGAGAGTCTTGATGAGTCAGTTAAGATGTACAATAGTATTCTATTGAAACTTATGGACAAGCATTGTCCTGTGATCAGTAAGGAGATGAAGAGTGAAGACAAAGGTAAACCTTGGATGGATCAGGATCTGAAAGCTTTACAGAGGCAGAGGAGAGCAGCTGAGAGAGCCTGGAGGAAAGGCAAGGGACAGAAGGATATTTTTGTCAACCTCAGGAACAAATTTATTGTCATTGAGCGACAGAAGAGGATTACTTACAATAGAAAAGCCCTCTTAGCCTCTGCGGGAGATACGAAGGCTCTGTACAAGAAAGTTTATAGACTCACGGGTGAAACTACCCAAGAAAGGCCACATGGTAATGACACTAAAAAACTGGCAGAAAGTTTTAAAGTTTTCTTTGCGGATAAAGTGAATGATATCGGACTTGGGATAGAAGATGAAGGAAGTCATATCGGAGGGAACTTGTCATCGTCAGAGAATCTTGAAAGCACCTATTCAGGGCCATCATTTGATAAATTTCACTCCATCACTAGGCAGCACCTGTTACACACCATTTCTAAGATGTCTAACAAGTTTTGTAGCCTTGACCCTATTCCAACTTTCATGTTGAAGAAATGCTCTCAGGAGTTGGCACCGATCCTCCTGCACATAATAAACGGTTCTATGTTGCAAGGTGTGTTTCCAGCCGAGATGAAGACTGCACTGGTCAAGCCCACTATCAAGAAGAAGAATGCTGATCCAAATATTCTGAAGAATTACAGACCAGTCTCAAATCTTGCAGTTATGTCTAAACTGATTGAAAAGATTGTACTTGAGCAGTTAAACAATCACTTACATTTAAACAGCCTGCATTGCCCAGTTCAGTCTGGATACAGAGCGAACCACAGTTGTGAAACCCTGATGGTCAGGATGGCAGACGATATTCTTAAAGAAGTGCAGAAGAACAACATTGTGATTGTAGTCCTACTTGATCTCTCTGCTGCTTTCGACACGATTGATCATACAATCCTTCTTAAGAAGCTGGCAAAAGATTTTGGTATTAAGGACTCTGCATTGAAATGGTTTAGTTCATACCTCTCAGGCAGGTTTTTCAAGGTTAAGGTAGATGACTCATTATCTGACTTCCTGTGTCTGTTGTTTGGGGTACCCCAGGGCTCTCTATTGGGACCTATCCTGTTCATCTTATACATTAAGCTGCTCCAGGAAATAGCTAGAAAGTATGGTCTCGATATTCAGCTTTATGCAGATGACTCACAACTTTATATAGCTTTCCACCCGATGAGACCCATGGAGCTGCAGAATGTCACTAGTAGGATCAACGACTGTCTGTCTGAAATCAAAGTATGGATGGTTAATAATTTCATGAAACTGAATGAGAGCAAGACAGAATTGTTAGTCATTGGAAAGCCTTTGGTACTGAAGAAGTTTGACCTTGAAATAACAATAAAGTTTGGTGACACCATTATTACACCAACTGTATGTAAAAACGATACCTGGAAGAGTCTTGGAGTGTTACTAGATGAATCTCTCAACATGGAAAGGCAGATTAACAACGTTAGGAAGAACTGTTGCTGGACAATGAACAATCTTAGAACTATCAGAAAGTATCTAGATGAGAGAGTTAAGCTCATGCTGGTCAAACAACTGTAGCAATCATTTTATCAGTAGCAATCATTTTATCCCAGTAGCAATCATTTTATCTCAGTAGCAATCATTTTATCTAGCTTATGCAACGGTTTAAATCGTCTCTTATCAGCTGTTTTATCAACTTTAACACAGCACCGTGCTGTACAGCCCGTTTGTTGTACAATTGACAATGGAATTCAACGTAGCAGATCTACACACACAAGAGGAAGCTTTGCATTCATCAGTGGAAAAAGTTTTAAAAGCTGTCAATACTGCAAATACTGCGAAGAACGCTGTCAATATTGAAAAATTTGAGGAACTGAATCATGCAGCACTCATGAAATGTAACAAGGACACGATGGCAAAACTCATTGAGAACTTAACCAAATCACTGATCAGTAACATTGTTTTATGCAAATCTGCAGCCGGTACCATCGATTATGTTAAGTCAGAACTGATAAAAGTGCAGAGAGAGCAGCTAAAATCTGTGCAGGAGACTGTTCAAACTGAGATTAAAACGGAGATGAAGACATGGAGCGAAATTGCCAGGAAAAACTGCGACAATAAAGCTCCAACTTTGAAGACAGTGAAGAAAGCAGTACAGTCTGCTGTTCAAGACGACACTCGGAGCAGGAACTTCATCGTCCACGGAGTTCTGGAGGATTACTCCACGTGCCCCGCTGATTTAGCAGATGAAGTACTGGACAAGATTTTGCAACACAATAACCACTCTGATATTGTAGCTGCTAATCGTATCGGTGTGAAGAAACGGGAGGATGGTAGGCCGAGGCCAATCAAAGTGACTATGAATAGTAACGAATCAGTGAAAGAGGCTCTCTCGAGAGCAAATCATTTGAAAAAGTCCCTCTGTACAACCTACCACAGCTGGTTCGTTGCTCCAGATAGAAACCGAGAGGAACAAGCAACACATAAAAAACTCGTAGCTCAATTAAAGGAGAAAATATCTGCTGAACCGTCGAAGTATCACTATATTAACGACGGAAAAGTTTTGAGTGTAATGAATGCATATAAGAGATAATTAACTCAGATTAATCTGTTATCTTCTTTGTTGATTTGTGTGCAATTGGGCTGAGTTTAAGAGTTTAGAATAAAGTGCGTGATTTCGCTGAATTTCAAATTTGGTATAGCAACTCGTAGTGCAGACTTTTTGAGATCTGATGAAGTATGGCCAACGGGATTGTTACTCATATAATTTCCCGTGATGATTTTTGGACCATACATTGCTGAATAGCAATCGTGAAGGAAGTCTCACCAGTAGGTTTTATTTAACTAGGCTAAGTTTTCATACGCATATTCTATAGACTATACATTTACTTACTATGATTTATTAAAGGTTAATTTCTGCCCGATGGGAGTGAGATATTGTTTGGTGTGTGAATTTTTTGATTTTATAAGTTGACTTGAAATCCCTTAAGGGTACCGGCAAAAAAAGCTGATTTCACAACAACAACTGATCATATCAAAGCTGGACTATTGTAATGCCCTTTACATGAATCTTTCAAAGACTAGAGTGAAGAAGCTGCAATCTGTTCTAAATGCAGGGATACGTTTCATTTACGACATCTATGACAGAAATACTGACTTGTCTCCTTTCTACAAGAAAGCTCATATTCTCCCTGTTGAAAAGAGGATATTTTTCAAAGTGTGTCTCATCTGTTTCAAAGTGACCCATGGATTGGCACCAATGTACCTCCAAGAGTTGGTTCAAATGAACAGAGATGATAATCTAGGTAAACTATAGGTAAAAATATAATATTAATCATAAGCTAAAATGTACTAATCTTTGTATTCTAAATGGGGAAAAAGAAGAAACATTGTCAGTCAGTCGAGAAAATTGTCAGTCAGGCTATATGGCAGCTTTGTAGATGTTGTGACTTTGCTAGTAGTGGTCCCAGGCTTGCGACTGGAATTGCGGTGTTAAATCGATTTAATGGTATACCAACGATCCACCTCCCACTTGTTGTTTGGTACTTAGCATTAATAGTGTTAGCTGTCAAAGAAAACCAGAACAAAAACAGCATGCAACCTTCTTATGAAGATACCTAAGTTCTCTTAATTGAAGGCAACTAGCAGGCGGTTCAGCAACTATACACCTGAATCATGGAATTGTCTCCCTCTTAATGTCCGTAATATCGACAATATTGTCTCTTTTAAGGGTAAGTTAAAGAACTATTTATATGATCAGCTATAGCCTGGTTAAGCTATTTTTTGTGGCTTCTAGTCTTTTTTTGTGTTATTTTTTGTTTTCCGTGTATCCACTTCTTGTTTTTCTGGTTTTTATCGGTGTGTCAATAAAATCAATTATGTAGTATGTATACTTTAACCATTTTTTGCGACAGTTAATCTGATATTATCTCTTTAACATTATTTAGTATTTTTTGATTTAGGAGACCCGTGTTTTGTTTTTAACTTTCTGCTCCGAGGAGGAGAGAAAGTTATTTGAGGAGAGCCGCTCAGACATGGGCACCGTATTGTGTAAATTATTTAGTTATCTTTATACTATATCTTTGTCGCATAGTAGCGGGGTAGTAAATACAGTGTTTCGTTTCGTTTCGTTTCGTAAATATATTTTTCCATCAACATTAATAATTTATCAAATTCAATTTTATTAATTAATAAAATACAATACATTATATATATAAATAATTCATTAAAACTTCCCAGTGGAATAAAGATTTACAAAACGCTTCTTTGCCACAAAAGGATGAAACCAAAGATATTCATTATGTCTCTCCTTATTGCTTAAATAGCTGGGTCTTTGACACTGTCCCCCACTTTAGACTTTTATCTAAATTGGAGGGGTTTGGGGTCAAAGGAAAAGTTTAAGATGTTATTTAAGATTTTCTTACAGACAGAACCATGAGGGTTTGTGTAGAATGACAATGGTCTGAGGTGAAACACGTGTTATCTGGTGTTCCCCAGGGGTCAGTATTGGGTCCTTTGCTATTTATTCTTTATATTAATGATTTACCTGATATAGTCAAGAATAAGATTAAATTATTTGCAGATGACCTCAAGTTGATTGGTAATGCAGCTAACCACAGCAGTGTTGCTGAAGATATTGTAAAACTGGAAGTCCGGGAGAGTATTTGGCTTTTGAAGTTTAATCCTGCTAAATGTAAAGTTGTTCATATTAATCTTAATAGCAACCCTAACTTAAATTATTTAGTAATTCGTATGATTTGCTGGATTGTGAGGAATTTGATAATTAGAGAAAAATGTGTAATGATAGCCATCTATAAAGCTTTGATAAGACCTCATCTAGAGTATTGTGTCCAATTGTGGAATCCAGTTGTGGCTCATGGAAGTTGGGGGACTGTTTTGGAGCTGGAGAGCGTCCAGAGGCGGTTTACCGGTCTGATTGATAAGGTGGGTACTCTTCCTTACAGCCGTAGACTGGAAATCATTAATTTGACAACGCTGGCAGAGCGGCGAATACGTGGGGACCTTATTGAAGCTTTTAAGGTTATTAATGGCTTGACTGATTATGGTTCAGACTTGTTCAGACCAAGCAGATCAGGTCTTAATCTGGTTTCATCCAATAGATGTAGTAAGAGTGTGACAAAGGTCAAGAATCTTCAGTGTTCTTTTCTTCCAGAGTGGGTTGTTCCTTATTGGAACAAACTCCCTTCGGAGGTGAAGAACTGCTTGACAGTTTTGAGTCTTAAAATTGGACTAAAAAGTTTTAAAAAGAATATGATTTCTAAATGTATTGTAAATGACTTTTTAAAGTTTTAACAAGAATTGAAGGTACCAGTTATATCAGTAATAAGGAAAAACACGATGATTATCTGTGGTTTCATCCTTATGTAGTAAAGAAACGTTTTATAAATCTTTACTCCACTGGGAAGTATGAATAAATTAAATTTTGTAATGTTGTTTTTATTCATGATTAATATTTGATAAATTATTACCTTTAAATTTGATGGAGAAATAGTTATTTTCCATGTAGTGTGATGATGCTTTTTAGACATTAGTGATGATGTTATGTCACAATTTTTACTTTACTTTACTTTACTTCAATTTTCCCTAAAACTTCATTCAAAACATTCCAAAAATAAAAATCATTTACACTGTTTTTATGAATCATTTCTTTCTTAAATCGTTCCAATTTAACTTTAAAGCTTAAAACTGTCGAGCAGTTCTTGACATCTGAAGGGAGTTTGTTCCAGTAAGGAATGACTCGCTCCGGAAGAAAGACTCACTCTCAAAAAAATTGTCTTTTCTCAATAACTAAGTTCCTTACAATCCAGCAGATCATACGATTTGCTTTAGAAATACATGCTTTTATTTGTTCATTCCAAAGCAAGGAGCTATGGGTAAAAGATGCGAAATTTTACAGAGTTCGGCTAATTTATTTCAATACTCGAGTGACTAGTTTGAATTACTCATCTCGTGGCCCTGGTTACATGGGGACCCCAGGTGTTTATGTTCATAAACATAACAGAGATTCGGCGCAGGATATATATAAATATTACTTGTGAAACAAGCGCGTCACACAGTACGTGTAGACTCATGGCTAGGTGAAACATATTATAAAAATAAAACATTGCCCTGTAAAGTTTTATGTGAACAAAAAATTGCTTTTGATCACGTTACAGATTAGTTGCTAATTACCTGGGGACCTCAGGCTATTATTTGCTCTATTAATATTGTACAGTGGTCATGATCTATCCTAAAGTGGTAGTGACCACAGTCCCCTGCGAAGAAGGAGGACCTGGAATCCGATCGTTTGGTTCAGTTGTATCACGTCGTGACCCCATACCAATGTCGTTTCATTATCGAGTTTCTTTAATGTTGGTAAACAACAATAGAGATTAGGCGGAATGACAGGCTGAGCGCGGCCCAGTAAGCGGCGGGTCATACAACTGACAACGTATGACAAGGGTTCAGTTTAGTTGTCGTATTAATTCCAATTTTAGTGCAATTGTGATAAAACCTGGGTTCAGTTGTCGATTTGGGATTTAAGCTGATTGGTCATCCAATTAAGCTGATTGGGTTTT